CCACAGCCAGTGTTTCTGTTGAGATGGGGTCCTACAGACTCCTGGACAGGTCTGGCCTCCAACAGTGATCCATCCGATCTTGGCCTCCTGAGTACCTAGTCACTGGTGACTAGCTACAGTATTTTTTTTTTTCTAAATAGTAAAAAACAAGGAAGGTTTTTGTTTGTTTGTTTGGTCAAAATGTAATCAATAACTGCACAGTGCAAACATTTTTTAATAAGGGAAAACAAGATTTAAAAAAAAAAAACACCTGTGAGTTGCAAGAGAGCTACCCCCAGATATCATAAATATACAGGGTGCTGCCGAGCAGACAGCTGGGAAATATAATGTCTTTTCAGAGAATCTTCAAACAGAAAAACAAGCCCTAAACCCCGGGCACTGGGGCAGGAAGCATGTCATCACGTTGCTGACCCTCTGACTCAACACTGACTCCAGCCCTCCACCCGGAGGGGAGCGGCAGACAGACAGACAGGCAGGCAGGAGCTGAGCGGAGCCTGGGCAGACTGAAACTCCACGGCCGGTCTTCTTTTGTAGAGTCATGGCCAACTGAGACCCACTCTGACCTTTACTGCTGAAGGTCATGGCCAACTGAGACCCACTCTGACCTTTACTGCCGAAGGTCTCCCTGGTGACGTTCTTGTCTGTTTCTTAGAAACGAGATCAGAGAGCAGGACCCAAACACTTCCCAAACAGGTCTAGGAGTCTGACAAACAGTCTGGACAAGTCCCGGCAAGTCTCAGGAATTCAGAGCCTGCTTCACAAGTCAGCTGAAAGGGCTTCCCAGGGAAGGCAATTCAGCCTGCAGTGAGGGATTCGGTTCCTAGGAGGCATGGTTCTGCTTGGCAGCACTGGAAGAGCAGACTGAAGGCAACGTGCCTACCCCATGCACTTCTAGTTCTGTTCCATAACACCGACACTGAAGAGCAGGGGTCTGTTACAGAGACCCAGAAACAAAGCAAAGCGTTGGCACTGGAAGTCCTTACACTTTTACGGCAGACTACATTAGGATGCGGAGACCCTGAAGATTAGAACCCAGGGCCACCGCCTTCCCACGTCCATTCAGCAACTATTTATTAAGGTGTTGGCGTGCACGGTACTAAGCGGCAGGACAGACGGAGCTAGTGAGCAAGGAGCTAGAGGAGGTGGGGGCATGCATGGGGACTGAGAGGCAGATACCTTTAAGAAACCCTGAGAAGTAGAGCCAGTTTGGGAACAAGAAGTTTAAAAAAACTGTTTTAAAAAATTTGGGACTTTGCTGGGTGCTGGTGGCTCACGCCTGTCATCCTAGCTACTCAGGTGGCTGAGATCTTGAGGATCACAGTTCAAAGCCAGTCCTGGGCAGGAAAGTCCGTGAGACTCTTATCTCCAATAAACCACCAGAAAACCAGAAGTGGTGCTGTGGCTCCAAGTAGTACAGTGCTAGCCTTGAGTGCAAAAGCTCAGGGACAGCGCCCAGGCCCTGAGTTCAAACCCCACAACCAACCAAAAAACAAACAAACAAGAAAAGGACTTTATTAAAAGTCCAATGAAATATCAATCAGACAGACGTGGATAACAACCAATGGCCGCACAGGAAGCCAGGTTGGAGGGCGGGCAATGATGGGGTCAGCCAACTGCCCTGGAAGTACTTGGGAAGAGACGAGGCATGCCTAGGTCTTCACGGGCAGCTGCCACGAGCAGTGTAGATTCCAGAGCTATTTAGTGGGAGAGGTGACAGTGTTGGCAGCTGGTTAAGAACAGGGAAGGCCGGGAGGAAGACACTTCCCAGGGTTCTGAGTAGCCTCCTGGCTTGTTTTCTGAGTCCAAGACTGAAACCGAAGGGAGGTTCGGTCTCATTTACATTTAGCTTGAGTCGCTGGTAGAGCACTGACTTACACAATCCAGCTAGGTAGGGACATCGTACTCACAAGCCTGGGCTTGGGACGCAAATGTAGAAGTCAATGGCAGAGCCCTAGAGACAGAGAAACACGGGAAACAAAACACCGGGGAGATGAAGGGAGCCGAGGGGATGAGGCACAAGTCTACACACACGAAGAGTGTGGGTGAGGCTTTCTGGCCTCCACATCCAGGCCATCTCTTCATTAAGGAGTTCTATGAACTGGGCATGAAAATTTATGTTTTCCTAGTCTCAATATCCCAAGTGGCTAAGATTATAGGAGTAAGCCACTAATACTGGCCTGAAATCTCTTTCTAAAGCAACGTTGACACAAGAATTGGCCCTCTGCAGAAGATCCATGAATTCCAAGCAACTTCAAAAGCTGCAGCTACTTGCTTGTACTGTTGGTAGGGATCGAACAGTTTTTAGTTTATTTAATGGATTCTCCCAACTAAATTCACCACCTGGGCTAAAGACTCTGAACTTGACAATGTGCGTACACAACACCTTATTTATGATAAAGATATTATGACATATCTCTTTTATGTGCCACACTTAGGAAAACTGGGCATGTTCAGAGGAGATAAGGTCACTTACATACAATGTAGAACAGACACGAATGACAAAACAAGATAGAGGATGAAATTAACTGGAGGTAGCTCAGGGTAGGCCTTGTCTAGCATGTGCAAAACCTTAGCTTCCATCCCTAGCACCACAAAAAGAAGTTAACTTGACACGAAAGCATTCTGGAACGTCTCACAATGAAAGAAAACTGATTGCGAGAAATTTTTTTTAAAATGCATTTTCAGTCTCCTCTTTCCCAATCCAAAGGAAGCAGAAAGAGAAGGAGTTCTATCTATGTATGGCACATAAAGTCAGATTTGTTATAGGTCATGGATAGTCGCTTCCAACTGGTTCACTTTTTTATTTTAGAAAATTCTGCATTGGGTCAAGCAATTCAAAAGCTTAGTTGAAAGTTATTTATCTTGGCCAACTTCAATGGGTTTAATTTTCTTAACGTTGGTCCTCTTCCAAGTCATTCAAATACAACAAGTCCAGAGAACCACAGGAAGAGTTCCTTCCCAGGAAACCAGGGACCTGTGGCACACCAGCCCCGGGGAGAGGGCCCCATTACCAAGTCCAGGCCGCTTGCCCCTGATCTCATTGGGTGGGTCTACAAAGGGTGCTTTTTTTAAGACAGGTGTGTGCACTGCTCTGGCATTTCCTGAGTCCGGTCTTCTACCACACTGCTTCCTACCGTTGGCTGTTTAGCTACGTGGGACCAACTGTGCAGGGAGCAGTCCTGGGCACTGCAGGAACTGTCCCGGGTCTCTGCGTTCACTCCCTGGGGACCGCAGGCACACAGACATCCACAGAAATCTCAGATACTGTCAAATGTCCCCTTGGTCAAAACCATCCCCGGGTGACAGCCCTGGGCTTTTAAACGTGGCGTAGGCACTTGCGGAGTTCCCATCCTCTTTTTAGAGACGTTGTCTGCATCTGATTAAGGCGGGCCTCGGCTTCTAGATCTCTCAAAGCCAGGGATTCCGATGTGCAGCCAGGCATGAGAACTTCCGAGGTGAAGTGTGGCACCCCGGCGGGCAAGTGTACCCAGAGAGGCACGCAATCAACTCGACACAACACAAGTGCGTCCGGTCCCCAGGTCAGGGCCTTCTTCCCGGCATTCGCAGCAACATGATTAGAGGAAACGGAAAAGGTGGAAGGGATGGAGAAGATTATGAACTACAGCTCTGATCCGCAAATGTCTTTTCTCCATTTCTCAAATAAATAAAAATGTATTTGAAGCTAGACAAGGGTGGATCAGCCCTGGTCAGCCCTTTAGGAACCTGCGATTCAGAAGACTGTGGTTCAAATCCAACCCAATTAGAAAAATCCATGAGACTCATTCCCCCAAACAAAGCTGGGCTGGAGGCGTTGCTCGAGTAGTAGAGCGCCAGCCCAGCAGGCAAGCCAAGAAAGTACTAGGCCCTGAGTTCACCCCCTTGATGCTGTTTAGTGAACTGAAACAGACTCACAGGGTAACAGTATTATCATGACAATGAAGACAGCTTCGGAGCTGACACGTCTTCAATGGATGCCACCAACCAAGTTTGAAGGAATGTCAAGTTCGCTAAAAATAATACCCAGACTGGGGGCTGGGAGGACAGCCAAGCACCTTCCTGGGATGTGCAAGCCCCTCTCTGGACCTCCAGGCTCCAGCAGGTGGCGGTACCAGGGACCTGCCCAGCGCGGATAGCACAGCCTCCTTCCTCCCATGAAGAGCTGCCCACTGCAAGACCAGCTCCACACCTCCCCCTGCTGTTCCCTCCTCTTCCTGGGTATTGTCAACAGCCCTGGGCCCGGTTCCGGTGTTGGCAGAGGATGGCACAGCACCAGCCTCTTCAGCTACTCCGGCCGTCAGGTTGCTTTTTCTTTAAGAAAATAAAAGCAGACACACAGAGACACAGTAGAGACCCTTCTCCCAGAAAGCATGATTGGCGACGTGTAAGTCGTGTTGCACGCTTATGAGACACACAGCTCCTAAGCCCCAGCGCATGTTGATCCCCCCGGCGGCAGCCGTCACTACCATCAACGCTTCCCTGATGGAGGCTTGGGCAGCTGAGAGACGGGGATCAGCCAAGGCAGGGTCAGGACTGCACCCATTTTCCTCTTGCTCTTCAATGTCATTTCTCCCATCTTCACATTTAATCCCTCTTAATGCCAAAACCAAAACCAAGGGCACAAAATCCCAACAAGCGTCTGCCCCGGCTTGTCACACGCGGCCCTTTTCTAAGTAGAGACCAGGACGGTCACCTCACTCTCTCCGCTCAAGATCTGCTGCCTGTCCCGGACTCTGCGTGGTCTGATGGCGGCCACTGCCCCGGGCTTGCCACCTTCTCTCGTCTCTTTTGGGAGGTGTGGGGTGGGGCTGAGGGACGCAGGGCCTCGTGCTGGCTACACGGGCCGCTCCGCCGCATGGGCCACGCACCACGTCCCCGGGGGAAGTCACCAAGCTTCTTAACCTGAGCCTCAGTTTCCCACGGGAAACAGCTTTACATCCTCCCCACCGATACTGAAAGTAAGACATGTTCTACATACAGACGAAGACATGCTGATCACTTACTGCTTCCTGTGGCCCCGGGTCGGGATTAAGCATCACATCTTACGTTATCGCTTTTGAATCCTCACGGCACAACGCAGGCCGGTGCTAGATGACTGGAGGTCCCTCTGGTGGCTCCGCGTCCCCTCCTGCGGCCTCCCAGGGCAGAGCCCGGGCCCTGCTGCACACAGGGCTAGCTCCTGCCCTGGTGCCCACGCTCTTCCCTCAGCTCTTAGCCGGATATTACAGTCCTAGGAACCACCGGGCGACCAGGTTATTGGGAGGGAATCGCTTTCCGAGAACGTGATGAGCGAGCTATGGCGGCCCTGGCTGCCAAGCGCCAGCCCCTCAAGCTCTCTTCAGATTCTCAAGAATCCATCCAAAACATGGAGAGCCAGTGCGGGGGAGTCCCTCCGGAGGCCCACAAGTGCCGACACGGTCACTCGGAAGCACGGATGCCCTGGAAACCCCTCATGACCACACATCATCGTCGTCGTTGTCATCGGGGGCCTGGGAGGAGGCCGGCGGGCACCGGGGCGGGAAAGGAGAATGCTAACACAGGCCGCAGAGCGTTTGGCTCAGAGGAAGGAAGCTGCGGTTTCAGCAGAGGAGGAAACTGCAGAAAAGGTGTCTGATCTTTGAATTTCTCAGAAGCAGCAGCGAGAAATGCAAATAACCGTCTCCTCCAGGACGTGCGGACAGTTGGCAGGAGCCTTTCGGCAGGCCTGTGACTGAAGACAGAGCTAGAGGGGCAGTGAGTGGCACTGGACCAGAAACCCCTAACCGTGCTGTGTCCACAGCACCAAGAGGCAGAGAGGTCGAACCTGCCACCCCACCCCACCCCCAACCCCGGGAAATCCAAAGCACAGCCGAGGGAGGAGCACCAGACCTAATCAGACAGCAAGGCAAAGACAGACGGACGCCGTGGCTGCCCGTGCCACGCCCCCGGAGGCGGCACCCACAGAGGGAGCCGGTGGGGCCGGCAGGGAAAGCGGGGTGCCGTCCCGGCACCAAAGCTATCATCGCATGAGACTGACTCAGGCGCCAGTGAACAGCCTTAACGGTGCTAACCGCCATCTGGGCAAGGTGCTGGCAACGCCTCTGGAGGAGCTTGCACCTCGGTGACGGGAGGGCTCAGGGCTGACCCTGGAGAATCCAAGCGCTGACCTGACCGTTCCCTGAAATGGCTCTCCAGCACACGAACGTGGGTGGTGGCTGTTTTCAACAGCACGGAGGACCGAACCCAGGCTTGGTAGGCATTCATCCCACACTGTGCCACACCCCATCCCCAAAGCCTGCTTCTGAACCACAAGGGCAGACTCCAAAGCGAAGCGGAGCTGCTGATAAAGCGGGGGTGGCTGCAATGCCGTCTCTAAGGGTAACCTCGATGGGAAAACACGTAAAACTAAACGCCCACCATCAAATCAGAGAAGTCCCTAAATCAGTCTTGACATACTGGCATGCTCTCACTTTTCTTGATTCCAAAATGGCCACGGATTAGAATAACAATTTCATAAGCAGGTGTTTGGCGGAAGGGCATAATCTGTACAGGACCATTCTAAAACAAACTCCTGAGAATTGTTTCAGAAAGAAAGACGTGCATCGTAGAATTGAAAAGGTAGGGCTGGGCATGGTGGCTCACGCTTCTTTGCTGATATTCAAGAGGCTTCATGTGGAAGAGTGAGTCCTAGAGAATAATTTTTCTGTATGTCATTTTCTGTTGAATTTACATTTCTGTGTGTGTGTGTGTGTGTGTGTGTGTGTGCATTTGTTTTGGGTTGTAATATCTTGCTTTGGAATCTAAACTGGCCTAGAAACTCACAATCCTCCTACCACAGCCTTCCAATACTGGGATTTTAGGTGTGTACCACACGCCCAGGTCTTTCTTTAAGAGTTGAGATGTTTCCTTCAAAAATTACTTCCCAAACTAAACAAATACCAGTCATTCGGCTCTTGGGGTGGTTTGAACAGTCACTAGAAAGGACTATTCTTTGGGGGAAAACCAACTCCCAGAACTTCAGTCATAAAAGGTTATTTCATGGCAAATAAGAAGCAAAGATCAAAGAAGGGGGGACTTTCTATGAGGCCCTGACCACCAAGCCGAGTTTTGCTGGGTATCTTTCTGTTTCCTGACCACCCTGGAAAATGTTGTTAAAGATGAGATTCTGGCTTCCATGCTGGAGATGGGAGCGTGAAGTCAGAGCTAAGGCCCTGGGAGGGCAGAAGAGCAAAAGAAGCTGGCGTACTCCTTCCCTAAGGGTGAGCGCCTCAATTCTGCCTGGAGGGTGAGGGTGGTGGGCAGCACCTCATCCCTCTCAGAACCCCCACAGTGACCGGAGGGCCTCCCCAGGTCAAAGGCAAAATGACTTCCACAAACATTCCCCAAGCCGTCAGGACCCGGGGATTCGTCGCCTTCAGTGAGGCCTAGAAACTTGGGTCACCTTCATAATACATTAAAAAAAAAAAAAGTAGGTTTGAAGGAACAGAGTTTAACAAATGTTGTTCCGAATGACTTTTGAAACTACCATTAATCCCACCATCCGGTCAGGAAGGATTTGGATCTTCTGAGTTCACAACATTCGTATTTCAAGGCGGCTAGACACTGAAAATTAACGGGAAATTCTGTCTCCTCCTCGAGGCCCGAGTGATGCACAGCTTCCCAATGTCCGCAAGAAGAATCGGTGATTGGGAAAACAGGTCCAGACTACCAGAGAGTTCTCACGACACTTTGCTTTCTGAACCCCTTTCTCGTGTGCCCATCACGGCCTGGGCAGGAGGCCCGGGGAGGCCAGCAGCTCTTCTTCTGTGGACAGGCTGCGTTCACAGATCTGAGTCGGCCTTGCTGCTTCCTCCAGGCTGCCGTTGGCTCTTTGTTTCTCCCTCTTTACATCATGACAGAAAGCAGATTACATTGACTCATGCATAATGATTCAATTACACGTCGTTTTACGCGTTGTTTTGCAAAGATAATTTCACCTTGCCATTACTTTGGGGAGTTTTCTGTTTGGCTACAGTGTCTGTTGAAACCCAGGATTGACACTTAGGGAATTTTATGAGTTAAAATCTATCCGTACGGGATATGTTGATGTGTGCATCTGCTTTCTGATCCACCCCAAGGGGATGACAAAAAGCACGGAAGATAAGTAAAGACGTTTCTAAAAGGAAGTTTTCAAGTTCAGCAGCAGGAAAGTATCCTCCAAGAAGACACGGGGGCAGTTACTGCTACTTTCACCGGACAGACACAAGATCATGGAGTCACAGAACCCCACCAGGCAGGCACTGCAAGGCCTGCGCACCCGTCAGCTCTGGGCTGGCTTCTGTTTAAGGACACAGTGGGGCAGAGGCTCAGCTTTCCCTGTGGTTCACTGAGGCACCGTTATGGGGCGCTGGGGGTCCCTCCACGCCCGCAGGAGCCCCTCCCCTAGGCCATTCAGCTGGTGTTTGACCAAGGTCTGTGGCCGGTGCCACACCACCACTCTACAATGGATAAAACGCCAGCACCTAGTGCGAGCCTGTACCGGACGGATTAAATGAGCTGATCCTTCTTAAGAAAAAGTGTCTCGGCTGTAGTACGTGCTCAGCACGTGCTAACGGTGACTGGGATTGCTGTTAGCAGGGACTCCAAAGAACAGACCCAGGACTGCCGTGCAGTGCAGTCTTTCCATGGTGAGAGTCCGGGGAGGACCAGGAACACCCTTCTCAGGGGTGCAGAGATTTACGGGAGGAAGGCACGCTGGGGCTGTCCAGGAGCAGGATGGCTGGGAAAGGAGCCAGGGAGGATGCAGGAAAAGTCCGGATCTGCTGGAGCTCACAGCCAGTGCCTTCAGGAAGCAGGGAGGAAACGAGCTGGGAAGTCGACAAGACACAACTTGAATGTGTCAAGTGGTGTCAAGTGAAGGAGCTTGGACTTGAAAGCGGGGCGCCCTTTTGAGAGCTCCAGCTGGCGGGGGTGAGGGGGGGCAGGGACTGTCTCTTAGAAGGGCAGGGCAGCCGCTCCCTAAGTTCCCAGAAGACAGAGAGAACAAAGGTGGGGGAATCTCTACTCAAACTGGTTAAAATGTTCACATTTGGAGCCCACTTACATGGGAAATTTACTGAACTGAAAATACTTTGCATCTAACCATAGTGGGAAATCTTGGGCAAGGTTCTAGAAGCTAGACCCTGGGCTGCTTTGCGCGGTGCGGCAGGTGCATGTGAACGGGGTGGGCGGGCCGCACTGCCGGTGACCTGCCAGGGACTGGGTGGTTTGGGTAGAAAACATCTTTTTCCCGTTGCTACTCAAAGTTAGCATCCAACTTGAACTCAGCGTGCGTTTCCTCTCTGTCGTACTGTGAACTCCTGCTGGTCACGTCTCTGAGGGTCTGCCCTCCTCTTCCCCAGGTGACAGGGTGGCGGCGGCCTGCCGCCCCTCCCCCCACCAGGTGCACAGCAGGATGTGTAACAGCACTGGCCCACAGAGGTAGGTCCACAGCTCTGTGTACACCCAGCCGCACAGGAGGAGCTCCTGACACCCGTGACATGGTGACCGTGGCAAACCTCAGCTAGCTTGTACTTGAAACACAAAAAGGATGCTCATAGCTGGGCATCAGTGGCTCACGCCTGTCATCCTATCTGAGGATCGCGGTTCAAAGCCAGCCCGGGCAGAAAAGTCCTGCCCCCCGCGCCCCGTGAGACTCTAATGTCCAAGGAACCACTCAAAAACCGGAAGTGGTGCTGTGGCTCAAAGAGGTAGAATGGTAGTCTTGAGCAAAAGAGCTCAGGGGCAGGGCCCAGGTCCTGAGTTCAATCCTCACAAATCCACAAAGCTTATTAAAATGAGCACATTCTTCACAACCCCCCTGGCAATAGGCAATGGAAAACTGAGCAGTTATCTGTAACTGGACTGGAGTGTTGACACTGGCTGCAGAGCTGCTCCCCGGGGATTCTGCTGGGAAACCAGGCTCCAGTTCCCTGACTTCTAGGGGTGTGCCTTGTCTCTGAGGGCCCTAGGACCCAGCACGGGAGTCCCTCTAAGAGAGAAGAGCCAGGGACAGTATAGCACAGGAGGCAGACGGCACTTTCGACGGCTCCAAAACCCAGTAAAGCAACACGAGGGAAGGAAAAAGTTGCATGTTTCAAGGCTCAGAGTAGGACAGTTCAAAACACCTTCCATCAACCCAGGAGTTGGAAATGCCCAATTGGAAGCACTGTCTTCAGCCCTGAGGCCTGCTTGCTAGATCCCAGGAAGGGCTCTGAGGGATGATGGTGAGGAGGGCTTCGTCAGTGGGCTAACCTAACCACGGATGACCGCACAGCGGAACCGACTGCTCGGAGGTGGGCTGCCGGAGGAAGTAGGCCTCTTGTCCCCAGAGCCTTCCTCCCTGCATCCTGGCCACTGCGAGGCATCAGCCCCGAGCCTCTACATGCCACTGGGCTCACGGTGGCCCACGACACAGCAGAGCCACGGGGCCGAGGGCTGAGACCTGAGGAACTGCTGCCCAGCTGCAAAAGGTGACTAATACAAATGTTCACGCCGAGTTAGGCCAGGAAAAGCCAGGAGTACTGAAGCCGCTCCTTCCTGCC